GTACGGAACCGAATAGAATCGAATCGAATCGAACCCGAACGGTTCCAAAATTATATTTGGAACCGACGGTTCCATTTACTAAAAAATCGAAAATTTCTGGAATCGAAAAAAATCGAACCGAACCGAACCGACCCGACCCGCGCCCACCCCTAGTCATGGTCACAATTCCTCATTTCTTTGAACCCTAAATTTCCATCTCTTGATTTGACCTTAAGGCAGTGTTTGATAGCATGCATTTTACATGGAAAATGGAATTCAAATTCCATTTTCCATCATTGGTAGTGTTTGATGTCCACCTTTTGCCATGGAAATTGTGAAAAAAAAATAAAATTCACTCACGGGCCTAATTCTTGGCGTGAAAGGAAAAGATTTTTCCACCGTTTAGGTGGGAAAACGAATTCTGAGATCTGTTTTTTTTTCTTGCAATGGAAACAAATTTCATAAAAAATTGTAAAAAAAATAATAATAATTTAATAGAGAATTTTCATATAAAATAAAGCCAAACGAACACTAAATTTTGATTAGAAAAATGATTTTTTTAGTTAAAAAAAAATTTGTTTTTACTTTTTGGCGATGGAAACAAATTTTATAACAAATTATGAAAAAAATTACCACTTTAGTGGACAATTTTCATATAAAACAAAGTCAAACGTACACAAAATTGTAAAATTTTTTGAGTAGAAAATTGTACCAATAAAACACACATAATTAGCAATTCTCTGCAAAACAATGTCTAGGCAATTACTTTATCTGGAATTCATTTTCTTTCCACTCATTTTCCATTCTTGCAATCAAATGGACCCTTACATAAGATCTTGAACGTTAAATCCCGTGAATGAAGATGATGTCTTCATGTGTTTGAAGGTTGCTCACTTTAGATGAGCACAACATCAGATCGTGGACATCTCGCCTCAACCATGGAGGGTTCAACCTCTACATGGCGCTTGAACGGAGGTTGTGCATCACTTCGACTATCATATTCGATGACCTTGATGAGGCCAGATAGGATAGCTACTGGGATTGTAGACTTGAGTTGATTTGTTAGCTGGTTGTCACGTGATCGATGATTGGAGTCTCATCGGACTAGTCGTAACAATTTATATTCATATTAGCGATGTGTTTATAATTTAAATCCCATGTTTGAAAATGATAGATGCAAAAGGAATGAAATTATGGGAATAAAAGGATCAAAAGATGTGAAACAAAGAACATAAGTATAAATCATGCAAGTATAGTGTATAAATTTTGGTAGGAAAATCTTCAATGCAAATGACATATCATTGGAAAGATATTTAAATATTGAGTTAAACGCAAAATATAAATCACAATTCGAATTTGTGGATCGAAAATTATGCGCACTTGAAGTTCAGGTAACAAACATGCACAAAATAGCTAGATGTGGGACTAGAAGTGCATATAAATTGAAAATTGCAGCTCAACTCGTACCACCGATTTATTTTTTTTCCTATTAAAAAGTTAATTTTTTCTTTTTTCTTCCCACTCCAGATGAGCGACGAGCCAGCGAGTGACTCGCATGGAAAAAACCCACTTCGGCTCATCCTATTACTCAATCATAATACACACACACACACACACTAGTTTTTTGAAATTATGTCTCTCTCTTTTATCAAAATATATACCTTGATTTAACATGCTCCATTAACTAATTATTAATGTAGTGCATATTTTACATTTATACAACTTGTATTAAGGATAACTAAATCACAAAAAATAATTTTTATAATTTCACCTATAACTTCTTCATAAATCATAATAATAATAACCAGTTTGGTGTCAACATTAGTATAGAGAGATTTTACTGTAATTTTTTTTTTTTTTTTACCAACATACAATGAATCAAATGAATAGATCTTCATTCTAAACTTTGGTTGTCCAGTAAAGAAAGAGAAGTCTCCAAATAAAGTAAATATAATTACTCTTTCAAAAATAAGAATAAAAATTAATTATAGATGAGTACTCTGTTAGAGTTCTTGAAAACTAAATACTACGAGATTCTCAAATACAAGAAGACCTTCACCTGGCTTCAAATTATTCGGTACCATTTTTCCATTTATTTTTATGCAAAATATGAAATTATCAAAATTCTGGAAGATCGTATATTTGGTGCTTGTTTGACTCTCAATATAAATTTAATATGTGTAGAAATTAAGAGGTGGATAAGTGAACAGTAATTTTGAGTCCAATAGTTAAAATTAAAATTGGACTTTCTACTTTTAAATTATTATGTTTAGCCTCCATTTGTTTCTCATTTTTCATCCATAAAAATGAAAAATATGACCGTTATTCATCACATCAAGCCATCAATTTTGAATTTATATATCTTGTGTGGGATCCAATAACGACTATATTTTTAATTCTCGTTCTACAATAATGAGAATCAAACGGGCCCTACTCTCTCACGAAATCAAAAATAAAATACTTCTAAATGAATAGTAATTGTGAGTGTGTTAAATTAAAGTTTGGTCGTGATTGAAAATTATAAGTTGCCTTTCGGAAATTCAAATAGATGTTGTTCGGGTAAAATTATTAGTAACTTATAAGGAGGAATACTAGTTGGTTTCAAGAAATATGTGAATGATAGAAATGTATAATTAAAATTAATGCTCAACTTTGATTGAAAATTATAAATTATTAATAATTTTAGCCAAACGGAATATAATTTCTCCTTCTAGTTGCTGATGAATGGATTTTTTTATTATTTTATTTTATTTTGTGTGGTTTATCGACACTTTGAAAATCCCACTGATTAACTCCAAATGTAAGAACGAGACTAATTCCAAAAAAGAAAACTTTCTAAGTATAGTTAGTGCGCAATAACAAAGATATCCACAGTAAAATTTGTACAAAATCATTTTAAAGAAAAAAAATATGTAATAAAATTTATGGAATGATTGTCTTGTGGAGTTCTACCAATTGCATTTTGTGGAGGTTGTGAAAACTAAAAAGTGATGGTGATTTTTTTTACATTGATGAATATAAGATTGGGCAAAATGTCCGAATCGAATCGAGTGATTTTTCTTAAATGAAATATCCGAACGGGTATCCGAAACGAGAACCGAATGGTTTCGTTTGGTTCGGTTCTCGGTTCTAGACCAAGAACCGAAGAGTCGAATAAAAATCGATTTTATTTTTTATTTTTTATATTGGATAAATCAATTTTTTTTATTTTCTAAACAAATTAATAATTTTTTTTTATTAAATCTTATTAGTTAAACAATTTAGAGTTTATTTATATTTGTTAATTGAGTTTTTTTTCAATTTTTTTGGTATAGTTTCTTATTAGTTAGTATGGAAAGTCAAGCAACTGATGATTATATTAAATAATTGGTAAGTATTATCAATACTTTAAAATATTTTGTCTTTATGACTTCTAATTTATATTTCCTTTTTATGTAGACTTGAAGGTTTGAAACAAATGAATTATTGACATGAATTGTCGAAGTTTTACTAGTAATATTTACTTTTTGGTATTTGTATTTGACAACTTATTATTTATATGTTATTAAATTAGATTACGTTAATTTGTAAAAGTTAAGATTGAACTTAACATTTGATGCACTTTTCGTTATTAATATTAGTATTTACTTTCAGATGTATTTATGTAGTATTATTCTAAATGTTAAAAAAATTTAATTATAGTACAAAATCTAACCCTAACGGTTTCAAAATTATATTTGGAACCGACAATTCTATTTACTAAATACCTGAAAATTTCTGGAACCGAACATAACCAACCCGCGCCCACCCCTAGATGAATATGTTCATTTAACACACACAATGTAATTTGAAATAAATTTAATAAACTAAACAATATTCACAATAAATTTATAATTAACTCAAATATTTCTTTCTCGTTACCTCTATCAATTTTATTTTTCATATTCAAAACAAATAAATTTTTAGTAGTTAGTTTGGATAACATCCTCCGTCCCTTTTAACTTGTTCCATTAGAATTCATGTAGTTCTCATGAGTGAAAGCCTTAGTAATTTGTAATTAGATCCTTAAAAAATACAAAGCAATCAACAGGAATTCCTTCTCTATTTACCATTTCCCTTTCTTCTCTCAGTTGCAGAGGTAAATGTTTGATAGGAAAAAGAAAAGGTTGAAAAGTTGAAATATAACACAGTAAAAGAAAAGATAAAGATAAAATAGCTCCACAACCATTTGAACAGGATAGAACCATTATCCCCAAAAAAAAAAAAAAAAATTGAATAATGGTAATCAATCTGATGAACTATCTCAAACGATCATCAATATTAAAATCCTGTAATGTCTCGCCTCGGCGATTTGTTAGAAGAATATCAGGTACAACCTCGATGTCCCTGTCAGGCTTTCGGAAAAATGCCAAAGATTATTACACAAGTAAGTAAATCAAATTGTGAAACCAAGAGTTGCAAGATTACCTGCCATAGTTGCAAGAGATGCCAGAACAAAAAATCAATTATCATGACCAAGCAAAAGATCTTGCCCGCCCAAGCACCGCATGGAAGGTACCTAGAACAATATCCAACGTGATTGCTTAGTTCAATTTTATTTTGGACAGGATTCGAATAAATATGCCTACACAAGCTTTTACATCCCCTGTCGGAACTAACCACCAAGGTTGCATAAAGGTGAAATGCAGATTTATCTCCCGGAGTAAAAAGAAACTATTATTCAATCACCACAATGATGACAGTGGAAGGAAATAGCCCATATACAAATCCTTTGCAGAAACCAATTCCCAATTACGAAACTTTTATACGCTTTGGCATTCTAAAGAGCATTTCCATATACCAAGGCTTTCACGATGACAACAGCATTCTATGCAGATTATAAATTCATAAGGAGGTTTAATGTTTCATTCATATAAACCATTTGTCATCACTCAATACAAAGCAGGATAGCGAATTCCAAGACCAGGGTGCTTTGCTTCAAAATTACGACGGGATTGCAGATAAAAATTTATGTATGACCACTAACAATAAATACTTGTTTATACAAACAGATTTTTCTTTAAAATGTTAAGCCATAACTTTTTGTTTCTTTTTTACGTATTATTCTATGTATTTATTTGCCTCTTTGGAAATACACGTGGGAAACTGAAAAAGTTAACACACAAGTCTTCCAATCATACCTGGATAATCGTTCTAAGAGATTCTGACTGGAACATCTCAAAGCCCGATCATAAACAATCTCTGTCCTTCTAGCAACATCATGCCAACTGTACAGTGTCTTCATCTGTTCATAAATAAATTAGAAAAAATTAATGTCACTAATCTGTTTGACATATTTACAAGGGAAATTAGATTTTCAACCCTGTTCAGAATTTAATCCCTTGTAATTAAAGTTACTGACACATTATGTACTACAATTAAATATTAAACGATCATTCTTGGGTATTTAGCTAAGTGAAAATAATATATTTTTTTATCAGAGCAGACAGTCTCGAGACAAAGATAAAAGGTTACCATATGGTTCATACCCTTGGATAACTTACCAGCAACAAAAATCACACCCAGATATAATTGGTTACTCCCATCTTATTTTACAGTTAGCATATCATTGACACTTTCAAAAATCAATGTCAAATCATACGAAGGATGCAGGTTCAATTTTGAGAGTGGTGCCTGTGAAATAGATGTGTAATAGTAAGATAATTTTTACAAGTTTTCCATAGTCAAGGCCATCTCTCGCCATTAAACCTCAGCTAGAAATAGCTATGTAAATGACCAACATTGGATTTTATCATTGTTGGACTTGTTTCTTAACTACTCAATACAAGTAATTTAGTTCAACTTGAATCATGGATACATGCATGAACAAGACAAGTAAAATTGGTTCATGGATAAGTTTTTCCCGAAGCCCTATGCTATGATGCTCGGACTCAAGTACGGGTACATATCTAAGTATCGGATCTTTTATTTTTTAAAATGTAGGTTACGAGGACATGACTAAAAAGAGTCCAAATTTCGGATACGGGTACGTGGATACGTCTTTCAATTTTCAATTTTTTTACTAATCCAAGATGTTATTTTGAATAGACCAAAATCAATTATTCACAAAAAATGAAATGGGTATTAAATAAAGGGTTAAAAAGAATAAAATAGAATTTTAGAATTTAGTTTTCAATTATGGGAATTATTAAATGTTATATAAAATAGAAAATGACGGAGGACTTGATTGCAATTTGAACTTAGTGGAGCACTAAGTAGCACTATATGGAACTCATTCTCATTTTATACAAACAAAACCATAAACCATCAATACAAAAAGAAAAAAGGAAAAAAAACAAAAAAAAAAAAAAAGAAGAAAATGAAAGAAAAAAGAAAGAAGAAAAAGGAAAACGGAACGCCGCCGCCTTTCTCCACCCTCTCAACGACGATGTTAGGTTTATGGAGAGTAGAAACAGGAAAGAAAAGAAAAGGAAAAGACAAAAAAAAAGAAAGAAGAAGCAAAAACGACGAGGTGTCGATACATATCGTGTCATGTCCGACACAGGTACTCAGACTATTTCAAAAAGTCCAAACATCAGAGGCCCTATGTATGATTTGTGAATTCAAAGAATGTAAGGAAGTCCGTGATGTGGGGAATGATTGATTCAAATGAATCGCGTTGGTGGAAAAATGATAGTTTATTGGGTTTTATTCGCAAAATTATCTCATCTGTTTGTGCATACATACGTTTGATCTCGTGTTACATGATTTCAGAATCAATGCCATGCAGACCTCAGTAGGAACACACAAGCAAATCATTACATTCCTTATGAACAAAAGAGCGGGGGAGAGAATGAAATCAGGGAGATGATTCAGCTATGAGAAAATGAAGGTTGAATAGTATAACATTGAATTAAACAGCAGTTTTGATATTTAACCCAAAGCAGTAGATACAGCCTTGATTTACACTTTAACTGATGTCACAGGAAGTTAGGCATGTTTTTTTAACAGAAAAGGTTCTGTTTATTAAGTGCCTAAGCCAAGATGGTGAAAATTTGACAATTTTTTTGCTTCGTAGAACTCACCCGAGTGTGCATTGCTTGCGGATCAATATGGGGAAGTATATGGATAGCCTTTGTAATTGCTTGTACCATGTCATTTGGATCCGGCTCTGCAAGGACAATCATATCATCTGGAAGAACCTACAAAACAAGAAGGAAAACATTTCAGAAGTCTGAACGCACAGCTATAAGTTTCCAGAATTGGCAAAAAGCCAGCATTGGTGAAAATCTCTTCCCCACACAATACTAGCACAATTGAAGAAGCCATCAAACTAGTCCAGCAAAGAGAGAATGTATAATGACCATGCCTCTGGTACACCTCCCACGCGTGTGCTGACTGTCAATAATCCACAACTAGCTGCTTCCAGTATGGCTATACAAAATGCTTCTGTTAAAGAACTTGAAAAAATGGACAAAATCAGGTAAAACTGTTAAAGAAATCTGAGATGTAATATATTATAGAAAAAATGAATGTGAAGTTTAAGTTTTATGAAAACACCAAACAGTACTAGGGATTTGCAAATCTAGTTTCCAGATCTTTTATTTGATATACAATGATAGAATGAAGGAAGGGAACCGTCTATATTACATTTTATTTTCAGGTCAATGTATGATGCATAAAAGAAGCCTCAAGCTAGCTCCACAGGAAGATGTTCCAGCCAAGTTGAACCTAGTCCAGTCAAGAACAAATTCTACCTTTAGGCTAGAATAAAATTAGTAAATTTTAAGCAAGATTTATGCTACTTCTAGAGGCCAATGGTTTTGGTATATTTCCAAGAAGTGACTTTACCAGCATGAAAGTTATCACATCCGTGATACATCCCTAAGAATTCCCCCCCCCCCCCCCCCCNCCCCCCCCCCCCCCCCCCCCCCCCCCCCCCCCCCCCCCCCCCCCCCCCCTACCCCTCAAAAAATTGGTTATCTTAAGTGCGCTCATATCAGGTCATGCTCTGTCAATTCTATGTTCAACGCGATAGCTTTCCTGGTATATGGGTAGTTTCTACTTTCTTAAGATCCAGGGATTTGAACTTCAGCCCACATCTTCAAATAGTTCTTTAGATTCTTAACAGCACACAGCATGAAGTCTAATCCTTCAATACATTACCCTTGACTATTAAAAATTCCTAAAATCTCCAAAAGACTATCTTCGGTATTTTGTCCATACTAAAGAATAGTCCTGATACTCTGTTCCAATAATTTATCTTCTTTCCTGCTCCAGACAAATGTGGAATGCCCATCCATTAACACCTTGACTCCTCTTCCAATACATTCAAACTCTTTATCACCTTAAAACTGAAGAAAACAGCCCAAAACATTTATTTCCTTGGTGGGTAGAAATGATCAAACGTCAAAGATGACGAGGGAATATAGCATGCTTTTCCTACATCAAGAGGTTGTAAGGGTATCAAAGAGAAGGAAATAAAACGAACGGCAGTGTCCAAGATAATTATTATTTAAAGGTGGATTAATTCTCAGTGGATGCCACCCTTGAAGTAATTTCATCAAATAGAAACTGTTCCAGCACCTCTATCAGCACTGTCAATGAAACAGGTTCTCATAATTTCTTCTATTGATTTTTCTATTTTGTAGCCACAAAAGGCTATTATCACATAAAAAACAGTTCAATCTACACCAAATTCCTGGAGCCTGGGACTTTATCTGTATATTTCATTGGTACCTCCATATAAAGGATAATTTCATGAGATTAACAACTATTAATGCCTTCTCTATTGGCAAAGAAAATAGTCAACAGTCTATGCCCTTGTTTGAGCCCCATTTTTTCCATCAAAATGTATTATTAAAAAGTGATTTGACACAATTTCAACCACACATTCTTCAATAAAATAATATTACCTGCAAACCCAAAAAACTTTTCCTTATTTTTTAACCATACATTCTTCATCATAACACTATTACAAATGCATTTTTAAAAAAAAAAAAAAATGAGGTTCAAACAAGCGCTAAATATTATTTCATTAATCTTTATATTTGGAAGTCGCCATATGCTGATCAGATTAAAATGAAAAACTAAACTATTATCCTATGACTACATTAATCCCTAATCTTTATATTTGGAAGTCGCCATATGCTGATCAGATTAAAATGAAAAACTAAACTATTATCCTATGACTACATTAATCCCTAGCTAGACTAGAATATAAGATAAGAGTACAAGTTAAATAGATCTCCTATTCTAACTCAAACAAATTAAACGATTCTTCAAAAGTAAAAAACTGATTGAAATAGGTAAAAAAAGTTTTATGTCTTTTGACATACTTGAACAAACTAAAATAAGTAATATAAAAAGGAAGTTATCTACCTGTTTAAAAATATGTGGCCAGTTATCAAAACAGACTGTACTTTAGCATGTGGGACAGCACCCAACATATCTACTCGATCTTGGAGAGAGTGTTTTTCCCTCATTTCTTCCAGCCTCACTCTTTTAGGTCCATCTCCTCCAATAATGAAGCGTACCTTGTCACACACATCCATGAGAGAGATAATAATACAAAGTTATGGTATGAGTGACATGCACGGTATAAACCTCTAATAAATGGAAAGGGAAGTTCAAACCTAGAAAAGGCTTCCTCACGTGTTAAGTTATGCTTGCCAATGTTCATGCTATCACTTACCTTTTCTGTCCAGATAAAAATGCTGGCCATATTTTTTCTGGGTATGTATATAGGTAATGGGTATAGGTATAGGTATAGGTATAGGTACAGGTATAGGTATAGGTAAATTAGAGGAGACTGAATCCTGATATTCATAAAAATTCTAAATTTCCAGTCATGAAAAACAAGGAGGTTCACAGCATAGACCAAACTTAAAGACTGCATGGGGACGAAACAGTGGTACTTCTAACATGGAAAGTAGTCAAGGTTCTTCAAAAGTGGCAGCTGATCAGTGTTAATGATAGAAATGACAGTTTATGGTCTTGGTTTGCACACATTACACAGGACTTATCTAACACCTTACTGCACAGACTTGGCGGTATTGGTGTAATGCTAGAGTCGCTTGATTGTGGTCAAAAAGTTCAGAAGCAACAACACACAGATAAACTAACATTGAAAACCAAAATATGCTCAACTTGCTAGAGTGCGTGTTATAATCAAGCATCAGAAATGAAAAATCTATTTTTTCTGACACAAAGTGAAGTAACAAATAGGAATAATGTACGACAACCTTGAGGACAAGCGAAATAGTTAAAACTTCACAAGTAGGGTAATTAGAAAAAAAAAAAAAAAATACTCACATTGGAATGTAAACGGCACACTTCAGGGATAACTTCAACAAGCAGATCTGCTCCTTTTCGGTAAACCAATCGACTTATCACAACAATTACAATTTCACGATCACTAAGTCGCTCTGGAGCAGGCTTAAACATGGCAGTGTCGACAGCATTTGGAATAACAAAAACCTTTTCAGGGGGCAGTCCTGATCTCAAAACCGTATTTTCTTTACTCGTATGAGAAACACAAATAGCTTGAGTCACATCTGCTAAAGTGAACTGCAGAACCTTGTTCATGTGAATACTTCCTACATCACCAAATCCGTATAGCGAATGATCCGTGAACACAACTTTGTATCCCATAGTGCGCGCATGCATTAAAGCTTCATGACATAAAGTTGAAAATGCTTGATGTCCATGCACCAATGATATCTTTTCCCGAATCAAAATCGTCCTTATTATTGGAAGTGTCCCATAAAATGTGGGCAATGTATTCTGCATAAGAAATGGTTTCCACGGCACGTAATAAACTTTCAACCCACCTGTCATATATCTTACTCCAGATCGATTTTGATAAGCATGAGTCATAACAACCACCTGAGATGTAAGAATTTAACAGCCAGTAACCTAAAATTCATCTTGCTTATAGTACTTGATTTAGTACAGACAAATAAGAGAGGACAAAGTTTGGATAGATTTCAATTGCTCTTCCATTAAAGAAGAAAAAATTATAAAATTAGATCATTGAAATATTCATGTTTTCACTTACCTTGTGGCCGAGCTTAATCAAGCATTGCGATAGATAATAAATGTGATTCTCTACACCACCAAAGTTGGGATAAAAAAAATCTGATACCATCAAGATTCTATGTTTTTCTTGTTTGCTCATCTTCTTTGACATTGTATCTCAAACACCTACAGTCAATCCAAATAATTGTTCTATGCTATCAAAACTAAGTTAAAAGATGCAAATTGGGCACAATTGAACTCACATGAAAACAGTTGTATGCTAACGATCATACACATCGTTTATACATGTTTAAGAACATATCAATCCATTGCAAACCGAGAAAATGAAAAGAGAACTCATCGAATTACACCAGTGCAAAGCAAGTAAAATTACATGGGTACTTTCTCGTGGTTTTAAAACTAACTTTACATACATTGAAACATTTAGTACTAGTATAAATTTAACTTTAAGAAGAACTACTTATATTTATTAAAAAAATCCATTTATTCTGAAAATCATGATGTCAACTCAATTATATAAAATAACTTTCGCGACTTGTATAATTTACTACAAACACTATAATAAATAAAATATTTCATATAAAATTTATGAACTAATATCAATTAATAAATATTTATTTTCTGAAAATAAGTTTTTCCATTCACCAAGTCATAAAATGAAACTGAATCAGACTGTGGACGAGGCTTCAATCTTCTAGTTACCTCCTCATATTCAAGTACCAAAATATGGTATCTCACATTTCCCCAAGTGATCGTATCTTTTCATACATGTGGCTCAAGCATTATTATTATTATCATTAGGAATGTTAGGAATATGGATTAACTAATAAGAACTTGATATCTTTAATTGTCAACCTCATAATCTCTTTTTCATTCCATTTTCTACTTATTTTCCTTATTTTCCTCTTTGTATCGATGGTTTAGGAATTTTTTTGTATAAAATGAAAATGAGTTCCATATAGTGCTACTTATTATTTCACTAAATTAATATAGACCAATCATATTGTAAATAGGATTAGGATCAGATATTTATAATAAGATATCTAATTGTAATAAGTTTTATCTTTTTATTATAATATTTTGTTTAGAATAGGATTTTTTTCTTTATTGATTAGAATATGATTTCCAATTTCGTTCAGATTAGGATTTTAATTTATTTCCTTTTGCAATTTAGTTTCCTTATATTAATAGGATTAAGGAATAGTTTTGCCTATAAATAAAAGGCCATTGTACTCTTTTTGAATAACAATCAATTACTATTTAATATATACAAGATATAATTGTTCAAATATCATTCTTATTTATTACATAATTCTTATTAAAAGAATTTCATAACGCTTCCGCACCAAAATTGGTATCAGAGTAAGGAAATTATCTTAATCCGATGGCCGACAAAGGTACTAATGGCAGTTGAACTGCCGACGATGAACGGAGAATCGATGAAATCCTTCATAACATCACTCAAATAATGACTGCGTTGAGTCTTGAAAGGAATCGCTAGCCCATGGAGAAGCAAGCCGACAAGAATTTGCAAATCTTATCTACTAAGAATGTTGGTCGTTTCAACAAGCACAAAACACGGTAACATGTGGCTTGAGAATTTCCTTAAGTCCCAACCAAGTCAAATATACACAATTTATCAAGGATTCTTTTCTTCGAGAAAACTCGAGGACGGGTTTTTTTCAAGTGGACGAGATCGATGTAGGACATCCCATTGTAAATAAGATTAAGATTAGATATTTATAATAAGATATCTAGTTGTAATAAATTTTATCTTTTTATTCTAATATTTTATTTGGAATATGATTTCTTTCCTTTATTGATTAGAATATGATTTCTAATTTTTTTTTTTTAAATTAGGATTTTAATTTATTTCCTTTTAAAATTTAGTTTCCATATATTAATAAGATTAAGGAATAATTGTGCCTATAAATACAAATGCATTGTACATTTTTTTGAACAACGGTCAATTATTATTTAATATTTACAAGACATGGTTGTTTAAAATCATTCTTATTTATTACATATTTCTTATTACAAGAATTTCATAACGCTTTCACATTGTATATCCAAATTGCAATCAAGTCCCTTATTTTCTATTTTATATAACATTTAGTAATCAACTTTCCATAATTGAAAACCTAAGTAGCAGGGACACGGACATGAGTGTCCGACACGCCGACACGCGATTTTTGAAAAAGTTCCCACACGGATACGTTATCGACACGTTATTAAAATATTATTTTTAGCTTATTTTAATTTAATAGTTTAAAGTAATAATTTTTTTTATTTATTGCATCATATATATAAGTTTGATTTTTTAATGGAGGGTGAAATGGTAAAAAAAATAATTTATATAAAATTTTACATGTTTTGTTAAAGAATAAAGTTGGGAAATAAAAACTAAATATACACTATATCAGAAATTTTACAAAATACATTTAAATGTTCTTGAGCTCAACAATGAAGAGTAAAATTTTACAAAATACAAAATGTTATTGGGCCCAACAATGAAAAGTAATTGATAAGCATCCACAACTTTTCATTTTCAATCAAACATGTCTTTTCATTTTGACTTTTCTCCTTCTTCTTCGGTTGTTTTCTTCACAGAATCACAGGTTGCTTTCTTCTTTCTTCTTCCTCAGCCTTCTTTGTCACGGTCTTTTCACTTTCTCTTTTCTTCTACTTCTTCTTCGGTTTCTTCTTCACAGGTTCTTTTCTTCTTCCTTCTTTCTTCTTCCTCAGCGTTCTTTGTCACAGTCACCGTCTTCCTTCAACCAAGTGCATTTCTTCATCTGCGACACGCATCGGCAACGTGTCGGAGACGTAACGGTGTCCGATACGTGTCGGACACCGACACGTCGACACCGACAACGTGTCCGTGCTTCTGAGTTGAAAACTAAACCCCAAAATTCTATTTTAACCATCTTAACTCCTTATTCAATACTCATTTCCATTTTTGTGAACAAATTATTTTGGTCTATTTAAAATAACATATTGGGTTAGTAAAAAAATTAGAGTTTGAAAGACGTACCTACGTACCCATATCCGAAATTTGAACTTTTTTTAATCATATCATCGCATCTTATATTTTAGAAAATAAAAGATTCAACGCTTAGATACGTACCCGTACCCGAGTCTAAGCATCATAGGTAAAAAATAAAAACTAAATTCCTACCACTCAACTCTTGCCTGCCTACCACTACGGTTTGCCCCTCTGTTTATAAATCCTTTCTAACTGCTTGCAACTTTCCCAACCTGCCATAATAATAGAATCTATTGCTACACATTCTTCTCAATTCTTTCAGGCCCTTCCACAATTGGAGACCCATCATTACCCCCAGGTTCCAAAGACACATTGTCCTCGAGATGGAAGCTGCGGAAGCATTGTAGTATAAAATCAACTAATTCCCTTAAAGCCTCAATTGCAGGACGATCATTCCATTTTATTAATACTTCAACTCCCAGTCGTTCTCCCAAGACTTGATCAGGTTCCACATTCCCTTCTAAATTTGCATCAAGATGGGATGGAAACAATTGACTTCCCAGTTCAACCCATGCTCCTCCATATTCTTGTTGTATGGTATTCACCATAGTTTTAAAGGAAACTCCTATCTTGTAAAGCTATGTGTCTCTCTTCACTGTAAATCGTGTTTTCCCCATTCTAAATCGCATGATTAACTGCTTCCAGTTCACCTCCATATCTCGAAAACTATCCGACCACTGCATTCCTAGTACTACATCAATATAGCCCAACTCCAATGGCAAGAAATTTTCCACGATTGTCAACCCCTGCAACTCCACTACTACCCCTTTGCAAATTCTCCATCCCTTAACAGACGTGCTCGTCCCCATCACAATGTCGTAATTGGTAGTAGCACTAGTTGAGTCCCAATTTATGTACCAACGCCAGTGAAATAAAGTTGTAGGTTACCCCACAATCGATTAATACCATCACTTCTTGCAACCCAACTGTACCTTTCAATTTCGTTGTGCCCAATGTAAAAAACCTGACCACAGTGTTAAGAGACAACTCTACCATGTCCGTCACTTCTATGGGTTGCTCTAGAAACCCGTAACGTCCTTCATCCTCTTCATCCCCTTTTACCAACAGCACACGCAGCTCACGATTTCGGCACCAATGGCCCACCGTGTACTTCTCTTCACACCTAAAGCACAAGCCCTTATCTCATCTACCCTACCACATAGCATCTGTCAAGTGTCTGACCAAAATTCTCGCCGATTGCTGGACGTTTTATCACCCACGGTGATCGTTTTCATCGCGACCATTTCTAGCCTCTTCGTGTCTGAACGTTTCGGGGATGGGTTGCTTTTAATGGTTTTTTGGGATGTGGAATCTTGGGCTGGTATAATTATAAGATTTCTATCTTCCACCTTCTGGGAAATTTCCATAATTTGGTCCAACCCTTTGGGCACAATAACCTCACGTCAGGCCTTACCTCTGGCTGTAGTCCATTGACGAATGTACTCTCTGGAACTTTGTCTAAAATTCCCTTCAATGGAACTGCGAGCATTTCAAATTCTCACCGGAATTCCACCACCATTCCGGCCTGATTGATGGCCAAAAACTTTTCACATAAGTTTCCTTCTTGAGACCTTCAGCGACA